ACGCCAGAATTAATATGTAATCCTATTGTTATGTGTGGTTTACGTTCGAAACGGATAAATTCAAATTTGTGGCTCGGAAATATGATTATAGTGTTGTGGCTTATACGAATAAATAGATGCGAAAGACGCACCTGAGAGAATTTGTTTGCGGGTCGGGCTGCAGCTGGCTTATTGAAAATGTAAAGGAGATAAGTGATTAATAGATGATTTTGTCTACTCTTCCTGAAAAGAATCATTTGTTAGTGGCTCATACGTTTACTACTCCAAAAGTAACTCCAAGAGAAATGTAGTGGTTTGACGCACATGCAGAATATACATCAGGCAACTAAGATTCCATTCACAAACGCCTGCATTCTGCTTCTAAAATAAAACTCTAATTTTATTTTACATGGCGTGCTTCAATGTTTTTATTTCGTTACCGCTCTAATTATGAAGCCAACAATTTGAATATGGCGTATACCGCAGCAGTGCGTTCTTTGCGATCAAAGCTATAACAAAATGCTTATTTCACCACACATGGCAGTTTTTGAAATTCCAATGTATATTTTAATCTACTTGTTGGGCTTAACCGACGAGTTTCTCGACAAATGATCGATGTGATATATCACTTGGCTTTGTGTGCATCTATCCTCTCTAATGAGTGCATACCGTACATGTTACTTGGGCTTCAGAGAGCGCCAAAAGTGACACAACAAATAATATATTTTATCAAATAGATACCATAATAATTATTTATTAAAAATTTTTATTTCAATAAATTGAATTTATATTATCAGATATTACATTATAAAAATTTATTAATTAGTATCAAAATAAAAATACAAATAAAAGTTATTACAGTAATATACAAATAATTTTTATGTTTAAACAACCAATTTTTCACGGAAAAAAAACAAATGTTTTGAAAATATTTTTCAAGTTTCGTTGACGTTATACTGTAATACACAATTCAAATAATATTGTAATCTGGTGCTTATTAAAGGTTATCAAAATAAAATATAACATTATATTTTGAAAAATAATAAAATAAAAAATCATAAATATTTTCATAATAAAATTTCTATTCAATAAATTAAATAAAGTAAAATGGATATTAGAAAGACGTATGACATTCAATCATCAAAATATTTGGAAATTCTGTACTTAAATTGGTCGATTTTTTAAAAAAACCAATCGTAATCGTACAAGAGAATTATTGGTTAACATGTGAAATTGTTTTTTTTATAGTTATGATTGCCATAGATGGTGTTCCAGGAACGACCTTAGATCTAAAGAACCCAAGGAAACTAGACCATTAAAAGCAAATATGAAATCACGAAATCCCGGATATTATGTTACCCAGTGTAAATATTATTCGAAGCCATTTGTAAATGGGTTTACCATTGTTTGTGCATCCAAAAATTTTTTTTAATACAAACATTTGGTGCGTTCACTTGTAAATTTTCTAACTTGTAAAGCCATTGTTGAATAGAAACATGAACATCCTATTAGGAGAACAGATTATATTTCCTAAAAATGGGTTACCGAATAAAATCACTGTTCGTATTGGCGTGTTACATTGCTGAAAATTGCAAAAAAAAAAAAAAAAACGACGCTTTTATTCTTGCAAATAAAGTTCATTTAATTTGTATTACTGTATGTTACTAATAAAGTACTCAAAGCTACTCAAAAACTTTTATCAATTCTCTCTTGTTAACTTTTCCCATTGCGTTCCTTGGTAACTCATCAACTACTTTTAACATGGTGGGAACCTTATATGACGCCAACTTCGTTTTGCAAAATTCTCTCAATTGCTTCAAATCCAATTTTGATTCCTGTTATTCATCGGTAAATTAATTAATATTAGAGATAACATATTTTCGTCATAATAATAAATTTTCTACTTGCGGGATCTCTGAGCACAACCAAAGCAGCAACTTTTTGTCCCCACTCGTGATCTTCAATTCCAATGACGGCAACTTCCAAAATGTTCGGATGCGACAACAATTCATATTCAACTTCAAGCGCCGATATTTTATAGGCTCCTGACTGGAACAGTGTCAAATTAGGAGGTCAAAAATAAATCGACCAAAAATAAATTGACCAAAGATACCTTGATTATGTCAATACTGGATCTTCCATGTATCTTAAATACTTTCTCTTTATCGGTTTTGATAGCCACATCGCCTGTCTTGAACCTTGAACAACATTTAAAGGTTACGCTGACATTGCTTAAATATATAAATATATATATATAATGACGTACCATCCATCCTCGGTAAATTCTTTACTGGTTGCTGCGGGTTTATTCCAGTATCTGCATTTATTATGAGTAGATATGCACATATTCAACAAATTTTCCTCGGGCAAAGTAAGTATTAATATATAAAGGTTTACTCTTTAAACACGCCAGGTCCCTTGATCTGTAATTCTCCTGGTTTTTCAAGCGTATCAGTAATATCCTTTCCATCTTCTGATATCAATCTCACTTGAACACCTGGCAACGGTACACCTACACACCCCTATATAATAATGAGTCGTCGATGTTCGTACGTATTTTGTATGAACGTGAATAAAATGATTATTCTCGCGATTATTACTTTCCTCGTATCTTTTTTCAACTTCATACTCGTGACTAAGTCCCATTCCAATTTCACTCATCCCATATCTCTCCAACAGTATTTGTCCTCCGCTAATCTCTTTCCATTCGTTTCTGGTAATGACAGGAAGCGCTGACGATCCAGATACCATTAATCTAAATTGTGAGCAAGATTTCGTAGCTGACGATCGCTTCTCAGGGGGAATTTTTGTTTTATAATATTGAATTAATTTTGCTAGGTAAATGATTTTATTTTATTCTTTTTTTTTAGCAAGCATTACCTATTTTTTTTTTTTAGTAAGAAAATCCTTCAAATTTAACTTACAATAAATAGTCGGAACAGCCATAAAAAGTGTGAGATCTCGCTCCGGTTTCATCAATCTATTCCAAACTTCGGATGCATCAAACTTTGGCATCATCTCCACCGTTCCCCCTGCATACAGTGTACATGTCAACGCCTTAAGATCAAGAAAGTTAACGATCAGTGTTTCTAGAAATTGAAATTTCGAACGACAAACATTGGTAAATCTATGTTTGAACCTACGTTAAGGATACCCTAATGAGAAGCAAATCTATATAAGTAGGCGTTGAATCTTCAAAGCCGCACAAACGATTTTATTACACTTACGTGCAAATGATGTAATGGGAGTACATGTAAAATTTTATCTTTTTCAGTATATCTCCATGCATCAACCAAAGATTTTACTTGAGCCGTAAGATTGGCATGGGTCGACACAACCCCCTTTGGTTTACCTAACAAAAAATACCGACCGAATCAAAGTTATGCTCTTATTCACCATCAGAACACCTATATATTTACCACTTGTCCCACTAGTATAAATGATCATAGCACGTCTATAAATATCCGTCGGAATAAGACGTGGTTTCTATAGTTAATAGATGAATACCATTCGCGGTTACCGATAAATTCACAATACAGTATTTAAAGATAACTTGGATTTACATTACTGTACCTCGAACTCGTGGCTATCATAATGGTCACACTTTTGATCTTTTCTGTCGATCACCAACAATTTATCGATCCCGGCATCCTTCGCTATATCTCTCGCCAGGTCATGAAATTCCGGATGAGTGACAAACACTGAAGCTCGTGAATCATTAATATAATAAAGGAGTTCGGGTGGTGGATGTGCCGTACCTAGATGACATTAGGGTTACATTTGAACCTACCCATCATAGAAATAAAAAAGGTTCACGGTATCTTACATAACGGTACCGCAATACCACCGGTCGACCATATTGACCATTGCGCTACTACATATTCATAACCGCTGGGACACAAAAAGACCACTCTTGCTTCATTCAAGTCTCCTCCTACTGCTCCGGATTCCTCTAACAGCCTTTTTCGAAATTTCATTACATCCGATATTAACTGACGATAAGAATGCCGGGTCCCAGCTTGGAAGTCGATGATTGCTTTTTTTTCCGAAACTTGCGACGCTGCGTGACCAATCACCTGCTTAAACAATGGCAACGATGGAAGACCTGAAAGATGCTACCATTAATGAAAAAAATTCCAAAGAGAACTTGAAAAAAAACAACCGTTCTCTGTCACTTACAGTCGCCATTGTTGTAGGAATTATAGGATCTTCCGTTAACAAACGAACTTTTGCGTGTTCCTAAATGATGAACTAGTAGTCGACTTTTGCGCATTTTCGAAAAAAAAGGTGGGTGAGTTTAGTTAAATATTAAATGCTAAATATAGATGTTTCGCACAGCCATCTTTAACCATGGACGATCTTTTTTCGGAATCCGCTTTCCTGTTACTATGAATCTCGTGATTCTTTGTGGTAACCATTCCATTAATTAGGCAATTCCTGAACACCGAGTTTTTCGGAAAATTGATACCGTAATTCTTAGGGTCTAACCTGAACAAGCAAACGAACCTACATGTGCTCTTCACATTAGGACATAGCATGAACTATACCACCTTTGATGCGAATTATTATATGTTCAAAGTTCATATTAGCATTACAAAGGGTACGTTTCTATGATACACAAGCAGGTCATATATTATTGACTTTAACCGTACATGGAGTCTTCATCATTCCTCGCATGTAAAAACAACCCTTCTAACATTTCGAAATCTAATCTTTACTAGGAACCTGACAACGAAAGAGGCTATATCGTTACTTTCGAAACCGGCAGTGAACATTAATAATGCAAATTCTCTTTACCACAGTAACCATGCATCTCGTCCTCATTTTGTTCAATGCGAAACCTACTGAAACCACTTTTGGTGTGGTTTGTGAAAAGAAAAATTGATGATGAGTTTAACAAAGCAAAGTAATTATGGAAAATATTCTCTTTAGAAAATTTTTCTCATGGGTGTGTTCATATACGCTTTGTTTAAGCCTATTAATAGATTTCATTTAATATTATTTACAGGGGTTTTTGTGTTCTAAATTTAGAATCGGAAATTGCTTTGTTTTTTGTAAAAGCACAAGACATCATCTATCGAATTCTGAAATGAACCTTGAAAAACTATATTGTCAACAATATAAAAATACCTGTTTGTTGGTTTCCAGATCATTCACTTTTCAAAAAATGAATAACAATACTCATCGCCAGAACCGATCTATCTTTCGCAGAAGAACAAGATTGAGAATTGTTAACGGTCCTCCAACTCCCGTCATTTACTATAATTACGTAAGAAGACCTAGGCAACGGATCATTAGAGGGCTCTATCGAATGCATGTCCATAATATCGGTATATTTCGAATAAGAAATGCGATTTTTCGTGGATTGCGTTGTAGAAACAGTCGGTACCGTGAACAGGTACAACGAATTTCCCAAACGCTAAACGCACAAGAGATAACTTGGATGTCGGATGGCGGTCCGCTTTAACGGTTGAAATTTTGGGAAGCTCTAACACGCAGATAACTATTTTGGACAACTGCAGGAAACGATGAGATCCCTATCGGAATTAAGAACACCATAATATTATTATTAAACACAGACCTGCTACATATTCAACTCAAATAACTATCTAATAATAACGAAAAATTATCCGGCAAAAAACTCATCTTTCTTCCAGTACATCTGGTATAAATCGAATGACGAAAATATCCTGGATTAATTGTTAAATCAATACGAATATTACTTCGCATAATTCTATTTGTTCACGCGATAGGATGGTGAAAAAACAAAGTATCAGAAAAAATTTCCCCAATATTGGAGGTAATTTGTCGAAACTTTTCTGGTATCAAAAAAAGGATATTAGTTTTGTAGAATAGACTCTTTCTAAAAAAAAATATGCAAAATAATATCATATGTATATAAGACTTTTTATATGCTCTAATATGAATGGTTAAAGTAATGTAAGCTTTTATATCATTATAACTAATATATTTATAGACTTTATTTGATTTTTTGATTTTTTGGAGGGATTTTTTTTTCTTTTACTACATCAATTAGAATTTTCTATAGACTTGTTAAGATATATAGAGTCACTTTCATTTTCCGAGACAATACAGCATCGATTTCCCTTTTGTTTTCAAATTAATTATTTATGATATCCTACAACATAGAATAATAGAACACACAAAGTTTGGCATCAAATCATTAAATATTCCTTATCATCATAAGTTCTTTTATGCATAACAAGAGGTCGAATTGATTTTTTTTTTTTTAATGAAAATTGATAAAGAGAGCAAGTTTGATTTTTTATGCATTTCTTTATAACATAAATTTAACATATGTATACTGGATATTATTATTATTAACAAAATTTATTTTTGATTTATACATATATGAATTGTTTTTTAAAAAATTTTTTTTTGTTTTAAATAATACTAAGAATTTTTGTTTGTTTTTAAAATTTGTTTTTCAAATATTTCAAATATTTAATAAGTTCTAATTTAAATTAAACATTAAGTGATAATAAATGTGATTATTGATTTGAAAATTTTATATATCACATAAGATACATATACATACAAATTTTATGAATTTCATTAATTTATGAATTTTTAAATTTTTATTTATTATTGTTTTATTTTTTTTTATAAATTCAATAAATAAGTATTGTAAAAAAAAACAATATCTTTATATTAATTAAAAAAAATATGATTATATATAAATTGGAAATCCAAATGGATAACACAAGTGATACTAATGAATTTATATTAAGAATTATAATAATAATATTGTAATAATTCAAATAATATCTCTTTAAAACTTTCAGAAATAGAAATATCCAAGAATAAATATTTTTATATTATTTTAAAATCATATAACACAAATTACATAATATGTAATATCTAAAACTCAAGTTAATATAAAACTATTATTAGTATCCAATAAAATATCAATAGAATTTTTATTATTAATCTTATTTAACTTATTTAAATTATAAGAGATATTTCTATAAATAGTTTAATACTATATTAATTAATTATATTAATTGATATTTGATATTTGTTTATTATTATTATTATTTATTATTTTTTTATTTGATATTATATTATATATAATATACATTATTAAAAGATATAATATTTTTGATATATAAAAAGTAACAAATTAAATATTAGCTTGCTAATATATATACGATATATTTAATTAATATTAAAAAAAAATTTAAAATAATATTATATACTAGTTGTATCTGAATAGTATCTACTTTATTAAAAGTACTTATTTTTTAACTATTTTATTATTGAAACTTTATCAAATTTATACAAAACTACTATCAAATAGTTATAATATTTATGAAAATATTATTTTAATTCAGTTATAGCAGCAGTAACTATTTTGTTATCAAATCTCTTTAATTAAGTAACAATTAAAAAATTTTAAATTCTTTATTAAGTTATTATTAAATTATTACAAAATTACAATAATTTGATTATAATTACATATGATTTATTTACAGAATTATTTTATAATAATAATTGAACAAATAATATAATTATAATTAAATAGCAATATAATTGTGAATTTATTGAGATTAGAAATTAATATAATTACATTTATGGCAATTAAAATATGATTATATAGGAATATATTTATAAGTTTATTATAACCAAATAGTAATATAATTATAATTGGACAATAAAATAGTTACTATTATATATTATATATTTATTCAATTATATTAAAGAAATAATTATTTTTTAAATAATATATATTTTATAAATTATAACTATCAATACACTTTCTAAATATATAATTATGAACAAAATTAACACTATTCATTTGACTAATTATTATTAATAGATAAATCCATTATCAACTTCTATTTCTTACAGATTGAATCTTGTAAATTGAATATTTTAGTATTTCATTTGTTTTATTTTTTTAAACTAATCAATCACAATAAAGACATAAACATATTTATAATTGTATTAATAACTTAAAATTGCTTGAATCTTGATATAATTCTTACCTTTTTTATTAATATTAATAAATATGACATTTCTAAAATATAATAAATATTTTCTATAAATATTATAGTTATCTTTTTCTAAATTGTTACACTTTCATAAAAACTTATTGCTTTATTAAGAAAAGCTAAATGATTTCTAAAATTATGATAAGAACTTTACTGAAACCTATCAAATTCTGACAACCTGGTCACGTGATCGTTGCGATTTTGTGACTGAATCGTGGAGATTCAATCGCGATTTAATGGTTTTTACTATGTCGCGACCAAATCTCAGCCAT